GAAACGGAAGCCACTTCTGTGGGGGCAGCCTCATCACAGATCGGTGGGTCCTCACCGCGGCGCATTGCTTCTCCAAGTAAGTCTCCCTCCCCCGCAACCCCCCACCCCCCACACACACTCCCTCACTACCAACTGCCTATGTCCACTCTGCCTCTCTCCACACCAGGGGCACCGCTGACAGAGCCCCATGCCCAGCCAGGTTTCAGCACCTTGGACAGTGTCTACTGCCTGTCCAGCACTGACCCACCTTTCTGGCCAGTCCTCCCTTCGAGACTAACTTCCAGGTTCAATCTCTGCTTCCCAGCCTTTGCTCCCTGCACCCCAGTTGGGAGGTCCACTGCTGGTCTCACTAGTGATGTGCTTGGCCAGGACTGGGGCCCTGTCCCTACAAGTGCTGGCAGGCTCCTCCCATGACCTGGCCCTGGCCCTTGCCCTGATCCCCCCTCACACACTTCAGATCCCTTTCCTGGCTGCAACTCTGGTTACAGATGAGCCCAAGGACTGGAGTAGATTGTCTCTTCCTCCTCCTCACCCTAAGATCACCCATGTCATTCCTGACCAAAGGGCCAGGCTACACATCCCTGCTATTACACTGTGAAATCACCTGGTCCCTGACCTTCGGGGTTTCCCAAGCACTTCAGCTCTTGCCTCATCACAGCTCTGCATCTTAAATTTAGCAATGCAGGTTCAGAGGGAGTAGTTCACTTGCCCAAGGCTCATGGGAAGGGCTGGGCCCAACCCCCAGTTGACTGGCCCCCAGCTACTCCCGTGCGGGCAGTCAACTCCTTCACCCCTCATGGCAAGCCTTTTACTGTTCTCATTTCACAACCAAGGAAACTGAGTCACAGAGAACTTGTTAGGTGAATTGCTCAAGGTCACCCAGCTGGCCAGGGGTAGACCTGGGAATTAAAATCAGAATTTAAAGCTGCTTTAGCTCATACATCCTTAACCACCTCACCCGATGTGTGTCCCCCTGGAGATTACTTTTCTGTGCAGAGATGTCAGGCACTGGACCTGGATAGCAGGAGGAAGGTGTCTGGCAGCAGAGGAACAAACTAACTACTCCCTTTCCCTTCTCCATCTAACCTGCAGCAATTCCTCCTTTGAAACCTCGGAGGGGCTGCCTCACACCAGCTCTCTGCTCTTTCCCACCAGCACCTCTGAAACATCCTTGTACCGGGTCCTGCTGGGGGCACGGCAGCTGGTGAAGCCGGGACCACATGCCACGTATTCTCGCGTGAAGCGGGTGAAAAGCAACCCCCTATACCAGGGCATGGCCTCCAGTGCCGATGTGGCCCTGGTGGAGTTGGAGGCACCTGTGACCTTCACCAATTATATCCTCCCCGTGTGCATGCCTGACCCCTCGATCAACTTTGAGTCGGGCATGGAATGCTGGGCCACTGGCTGGGGCAGCCCCAGTGAGCAAGGTAATGCACAGGTGCAGGACAGAATGGGGGACCTGCCATAGAGAAGGTCCCAGGCAGGTTGGGGGCCACTCTGAACCAACAATCTTTTTCTGTTGATATTGGTATACATGATCTCCACTCAAATGGGTGAAGTTGGTATGGGAAAGGGGCAGCAGATGCAGGAGGAGCCATGGGAAAGTGGGGAGACGACAGAAAGAACCCAGCCTGGTGTATGAATAAGGGAGGAAGGAATTCTGTTCCACAAAGCCCTGAGCGAGAAGAGGTCTAAACCCAAGCACAAAATAGGGAGGGACGGAGCTGTGGTTCTCAAGAACTGTCCGCTGAGTTGAGGCTGTTTGCCCCTCCCCAGATCGCTTGCCTAACCCTCGAATCCTCCAGAAACTCGCTGTGCCCATCATTGACACGCCCAAGTGTAACCTACTCTACAGCAAAGACGCTGAGTCCGGCTTTCAGCCGAAAACCATCAAGGACGACATGCTGTGTGCTGGCTTCGCTGAGGGCAAGAAGGACGCCTGCAAGGTAGGGGCTGGGACCGGCTGTGATGGGGGCTGAGCCCTGCTCCCCAGGCCTAGGTCAAGGTGAGAGCCAGCCCAGCCCAAGGAGGCCCACTAGGTGGGTCCAGTGTCCAGACCACAGCTGTGTAGTCAGCTGAGAAAAACAGATTCCTGGACCCCACCCAGAGGTGTCAGTCAGTAGGTCTGCAGTGGGATTCAGGAAAATACAATTTCAACACACCCCTCTGAGCAGGTGGACTGGAGATCTAGAGAAATGGGCAACCCAGGTCAAAAAAGGGCCAGCCAGTGGGGTGAGGGGAGCTGGGCAGGGACATTCATGGGTGGGGAGGTGAGGGACAATGGGAGGAAAGCAGGTGCGTGTGCTTGTGAACCCGTTGGCTCTCGAGCCCGTGTGGCTTCTGATGGTACCTCTGCTTCCCCCGCAGGGTGACTCAGGAGGCCCCCTGGTGTGCCTGGTGGACCAGTTGTGGCTACAGGCTGGAGTGATCAGCTGGGGTGAGGGCTGTGCCCGCCGGAACCGCCCAGGTGTCTATATCCGAGTTACCTCCCATTATGACTGGATCCATCGGATCATCCCGGAACTGCAGTTTCGGCATGCCAGGTCGGGCGGCCTGAAGCGGGGGCCCCGGGTCCAGCAGCCACGCGTTCAAAGCTTTGCACCCTGCCTGGCGGCCCACACTGTCCTCCTGGTCCTCATGGCCCTACTCACCTGCTTCTGAGCCCTGCTCAGGCAGGTAGGCCAGTGTAGCCGCCGGAGCCCACATGTACATTTGTAAATAGCTGTTTCTCTCTTCTTTCAAATGCCAGTTATTTTTATTTATGTTCACCCTCCAATAAAAACCTAACCTCAGTACCAGCTGCCAGGTATGGGTCCTTCGGGCAAGAGGGGAGTAGAGAGGCACCTGATGGGGAGGTGTACTGAGGAGTGTGAGTTGGGGGCAACCCCGGGTGGGGGTGTGTGGAGGGCAAGGCTCCCAGTGAGAAGGGAGCTGCGGCAGGCCCACTGGAGGCTGGCTCACTGGAGCCCAGGTCCTCAGTGTCCCGTGATACCTGCTCCCAAGACCCCGCACAGGCAGCTTCCCTGCTCCCACCCCTGCCTGCCTCATTGTCCTTGCCAACAGCCACCCTCACCGTTAAGTGCTGCCCCAGGGCACCCTGGGCTGGACACTAGGGGCAGCGACCAAACCAGCAGAAAGAATGGGGGCCTGGCAGAGGGGCCTGAAGGAAGGGGGCTTTGTGGGACATGGCGGAATCACAGCCCCCACTTTCTATTTCTGAATCACCCCAAGACTTCTTCAAATAACACCAGGGATGATGCTCCCACAATGATACTTTCCTACTCCAGTGGGGAGTAGGCAGGGGCCTCTCCAGGGGCTCTCTGTTCCCCAGGTTCCCCTTGACCCCCAGCTCCTTTTCCGCCACCTCTCCTTCAGCCTCCACCTCCCCCCGGTGAGTCCAAAGCTGCAGGGAGGAGGCTGGATTTGGGGCCATATCCACTGGGAGACTCAAGGGGCCCTCCGATGTGCCTGGTGGGCCAGTTGTGGCTACAGGCTGGGGTGGTCAGCTGGGGTGAGGGCTGTGCCCGCCAGAACCGCCCAGGTGTCTACATCCGGGTTACCTCCCCTTATGACTGGATCCATCAGATCATCCCGGAACTGCAGTTTCAGCAGGCCAGGTTGGGCGGCCAGACCTGCCCCTCCTTCTCAGTGCACCCTGCTGCAGCTTGTCAGTACCAGGAATCCAGCACAAATCGGTCTCTGGAGCTCTGGCCCGCAGGGTGCTCAGGCCCTGCCATGATGGCATGTTTCCCATGAGGCACCGTTAGGTCCGCAGGCTGGTTCAAACAGTTCCACAGCAGGCCTCTTCTGTGGCCATGGTCAGCTCTCCCCCACATGTAGACTGACTCTCAAAAGGTACCTGGGCTGCCCTGGCCAGCTTGTCTCAGTGGATAGAGCATCAGCCTGCGGACTGGAGGGTCCCAGGTTTGATTCCAGCTGAGGGCACATGCCTGGGTTGTGGGCTCGATCCCCAGTGGGGGACTTGCAGGAGGCAGCCCTGATCAAAGATGGTTCTCTTTCATTGATGTTTCTATCTCTCTATCCCTCTCCCTTTTTCTCTCTAAAGATCAATAAAATAAAAAAAATTTTTAAAGGTACCTGGGCCGAAGCGGGTTTGGCTCAGTGGATAGAGCGTCGGCCGCGGACTGAAGGGTCCCAGGTTCAATTCCGGTCAAGGGCATGTACCTTGGTTGCGGGCACATCCCCAGTGGGGGATGTGCAGGAGGCAGCTGATCAATGTTTCTCTCTCATCGATGTTTCTAACTCTCTATCCCTCTCCCTTCCTCTCTGTAAAAAAATCAATAAAATATATATATATATTAAAAAAAGGTACCTGGGCTTACCTGCCATGCTTAGCAATAATGAACTAGATGAGACTCCTAGGAGGGCCTTGCACGTACATATAACCACATACCCATGCTCACACTCCCTAGCACACCACATATACACATTCATGCAGATATGTGTGCACACCCATGCCTTCACTCACAGATGTTCACATTCATGCACACATGCTCACTAGTACATAACATGCACACACCCATGCACACAGAAACACCCACACACATGCACACACCTGTGTATACACAGGTGGAGCTTCCCACCTGGTGACATGAAGAAAGCAGGCCTGGATGTTTATGGAATGCATGAATAAGAACTTAGCAAGCACCTGCTGAACTGTGC